ATGGAAACATCCCCAAAAACCCATCTCTGTTTCTATGCTGGTACAGCCACAAAGCTGCAGCACCAGGACAGCTGAGTTTGCAGAGACCCTGAAAACCCAAGGGAGATTAAATGGTTGTTACCTCAATTAATCTAAATCTCCCCCTGTCCCTCCTGCCCTGCAAGGAAGAAGAGCACTGGTGCTTCTGGGAAATACAAATATTTCCCCTAGTTCTGCCCTGAAAGCCAACTTGGTCAGCACTGTCAGGCAGCTCCTGCCAAAGAGGAGGTTGTGTTTTTATTGATGGCTGAAGTGTCCTCATATTTTGCTTAGCTTAGAGAGAAAAGAGACTTGGTTTGCCCAAGATGATGAGTACTATTAAAATGTAGGCTGCTATTATTGATTATTAATGCAGAGCTCTTCCTAAAAGCCTTTTCATTGAAGCTGGGAGAACCAATCTTGTCTGGAGTGAGATTTGATTGATTTCCTTTGAAATCAAAAAAGAAAAATGCTGGAAACATCCATCTTTCCCTTACATTTTTCTTATGTAAAAGCCTGCCAGTGTTACAGATTCTTTAATGTCACAAACCAAAAACAAAACAACGACAAAAAAAACCCACCCTCTTTTGGCTGCTCAGCTTTTGATAAAACTCTCCATAAAAATGCCAAGCAGCCGACAAAAGGAGCTCCCCAGACCCCACATATCACTTCTGGTTTTCCTGGTGGAGAAAAGAGCCTCCATCCATTTCCCAGGCAGCCCTGCTGGGGCTCTCCCATCTCCCTGGCAAGTATTTTCCACCCAAAATCAGATTATATACTCCAAATTGGGATCATCCTCAGATAAAGGAGATGCCTCCCGAAAGTCAGTGGGATGAAACCTGCACAGCGTTCTGCTGGATTGCCTTTCCCGTGTCTTCCATCTGAATGTGTCCCAGGTTGAGTAAATCCCTGCACTGGGTCTGGGATGGATCCCTGGGATGCTCCCACCAACCCTGACTTAGGGCAGGGGCAGATGAAGCCACAGGGAGCTGCAGCCTCCAGCTGCCTTTTGCATCCTCCTCTCCTTCAGCAGGATGGGGCAGGGGTGTCATCAGCCTGGAAATCAGGGAAGGAGCTTAAATTTGGCTGTAGGGGAGCCATGGAATTGTGGTAAAACAGTGTGGCCAAGGGAACCCTAATTCTGGGCTCGTTTGTCCTCACTCAACCCGTGTGAGTGGAGGCTCATCCTTTCCCAGTTCACCAGCTGCAGGATGGAGACAGGGGTACAGTGGCTTCCCACTACCAGAGGGCAGGATGGGATGGGATTTTGGGAAGGAATTCCTGGCTGTGAGGGTTGTGATACACTAGCACAGGTTGCCCAGAGAAGCTGTGGCTGCCCCTGGATCCCTGGAAGTGTCCAAGGCCGGGTTGGACGGGACTTGGAGCAACCTGGGCTAGTGGAAGGTGTCCCTGCCTGTGGCAGGGGGTGGAATCAGAGGATCTTTAAGGTCCCTTCCAACCCAAACCATTCCATGATTCCCGTTGGGTGTAGAATAAACTCACTGGACTGGCTCATCCATGGAGCTGCTGGTGGAGCCCAGGAGGGGGCAGGACTCCCACCCCACACCCAGGGCTCGGACTGCCCGAGCATCCCAAGGAACGAGGATGTGGAAGAAGTTTATTGCCCAGGGAATGAGTGGCTGCACAATCAGCTCAGCACGGCAGGGGAGGGGGTGGGGGAAAGAGGGGGGCGGAATTCCTGCAAATCCCCTAAATCGCTGCTCTGGGAATTGGCTTTTGTTACCCGATTGCCGCTAAACTTGATCGGCAGCAGGACACACACCCCCCCCAAAAAAAGAAGGAAATTCAAAGGGAGCGAGTTCAGCTTGAGTTTCGCTGCGTGTCAAAGCCACCTCGGCTCCCTCCCTGCCGCAGACACCGGCCTATTTTGCGGTTCTTCTTCCCGCTCTCATCGAAATTAAAAGCAAAGACCTCAAAACGGCCCCGTTTCCTCCGGCAGCGCCGGCACGAGGCGCCCGCAGATGAAACGTGTCAGCTCTGCCTGCTCTTTAAATCCTGTCACCGCTCGTTTTGCTCGGCTGGAGTGTAAATTCCTTGAAGTTCCAGCAAATCCCGGGCGGATCGGCTTCCAAAGAAACCCGGCTACAGCATAATAAAGGATGTCACACGACGCAGCGCTTATTAGTCTGCAAAGTTCTCGGCTTGGATGTGCAGAGGAGTGGGGTTTGGGTGGTAATTTTGGAATTGCAGCAGCAGGGCAGGGTTTTCTCCCAGCCTAGGGAACATCCAAGTCTCCTCTCCGCGGATCAGGAGGGAACAGGTTGCACAGGGAAGCTGTGGCTGCCCCATCCCTGGAATTGTTCGAGGCCAGGGTGGAGCAAACTGGGCTAGTGGAAGGTGTCCCTGCCCCTGGCTTTTGGAATGCCCCATCTCATGGAATGGGATGGTCTTTAAGGTCCCTTCCAACCCAAACCATTCTGTGATTCCGTGAACACAGATGGTCATGGAGCGTTTTGGTTGGTTTTTGTAACTAAGATTGGCTCCAAAATATACAGAGGAAACCAGGAAAAGAATAATTCAGTCAGTGAATGAATTCAAATTCATTTTATCAGGGAGTCAGAGGAGAATACTTTGGGCTCTGAATTGATTTAGCAGTCAGGAAGGGAGGAGAAATTAGATTTTTTTTTATATTTTATTTCCATCCCCTAATCTTGGGGGAGGATCTGGAAAAGGGAAATAATCAGAGAAGAGAAAATCTCCTAACACCTACAATGAGACTGACTGTCAGAAAAAAAAATGATACAACAGAGGTAAAATTCTCTGCAGAAAGGTTCTTTTTTTGGCAGAAAAGCCTGTTCTTTCCCTTGAACAGCTCTCAGCAAAAAGTGTCCACAGAGCTGCTGTTCCCACTGCCCCTCTGGACTGACACTGTTTATCCAAGAAAAATTAAGAGGTGATATGACCCTGCCTAAAAATACCTACGAATGCCTGACAGCAGGAGATTTAAATCAAAAAGGCTGTGACATGAAAGAAATCCGTATGAGCAGCTCAAGGTTTTTGCTGGACTGATTGGAACTTAGTAGCAGGGAGATAATTTTCCAGGGGGAGCATTGGCTGACAGTGGCCAACTCCCTGCTGATTTATTGGATTACAACTGGAATTTGCCAACCAACAGTTGACGCAACTTCTCAGTCACACAAACCCCCTCAATCAAGAGTGGGGATGGTTCAAATTTACACCCTGTAGCTTAACCAGGAGCTCCTTTTCTCCAGGCTGAGCCTTCCCAGCTCCCTCAGCTGCTCCTGGTGCTCCAGACCCTTCCTCAGCTCTGTTCCCTTCCCTGGTCATGCTCCAGCCCCTCAACGTCTTGTTGTAAGAGCCCCAAAACTGACCCCAGAACAGCCCATCACCCCATCTCTAGTTTTGCTTGCAGTGCTCATCCAGGCCCATCCTCAAGTCTTCCCAAAGGCAAGATCACTCCTTGATCTCCTCAGGGCCATCTCAGCTGCAGGTTGTATTTCTTTCTGGAGTTCCCAAGTTGTCTGGAGATACAAGAGCAGGGTGTTGTGACACTTCCCACTTCCCACTAAACACTGCTATGAGTCTACTCATTTCATCTGGAGTCACTCCTGTTTTATCCTGGTGCATTACCCACCCCACTCCTGGAGTGGGTGATGTTGCCCCTGGGAAGGGCACCAGTTTGGAGTGAGTTACATGCCATGGCCAGAATTTGTTGAATATCCTCTCTACAGAACGGTTCTGGTGGGAAAATAAGCTTTTTAAAGCATTTTTATTCCCCTAAACTAAGCTTTTTTGAGCATTACATTCCCCAGGAAACCATGTGGAGTTTGAACTGCGCTCAGCAGTTTAACGACACCTCGTGTCATGGATTCCCCATCCCTGGAAGTGCTCAAGGCCAGGTTGGACGGGGCTTGGAGCAACCTGGGCTAGTGGAAGGTGTCCCTGTCCATGGCATGGGGTGGAGCTGGATGGGCTTTAACGCCCCTTCCAACCCAAACCATCCTGTGATTCCATGATTCTGCGCATGGTGTGGCTGCAAGGAAGTGGTGGGGAACGGTTCAATTGGGGTGTTTAGGTAAGCGAACATTTTCATTTGGTGAATTAATTTCTTGTCCCCTCTGAGGGCCAAAATTCTCATTAGGCATTAGGAAGAAGTTCTTTAAAAGTGATTGGGCATTGGAATGGGCTGCCCAGGGAGGTGGTGGAGTCACCGTCCCCAGAGGTGTTTAAGAATCACAGAATCATAGAATCATAGAATCAGCTGGGTTGGAAGGGACCTCCGAGATCACCAAGTCCAACCCTTGATCCAACCCCGCCGTGGTTCCCAGCCCATGGCACTGATGCCACATCCAGTCTCTTTTTAAAAATCTCCAGGGACGGAGAATCCACCCCCTCCCTGGGCAGCCCATTCCAATGGCTGATCACCCTCTCTGGAAAGAAATTCTTTCTAATATCCAACCTAAACCTCCCTTGGCACAACTTGAGGCCATGCCCTCTTGTCTTGTTGACAGTTGCCTGGGAAAAGAGACCAGCCCCCACCTGGCTACAACCTCCTTTCAGGTAGTTGTAGAAGAAGAGACTGGACGTGGCACCAGTGCCACGGTCTGGGTGACAAGGTGGGGTTGGGTCGTAGGTTGGACTCGCTGATCTCAGAGGTCTTTCCCAGCCTGGTTGATTCCGTGATTAACAGCTGACTAGGAATGAAACCCACTCAGCTGCACACACACCTCGCATCCCTCCTAACTCTCTGCAACTCCTCTCCCGTCCAGGTACCTGGGCATCACCCGCCCGCTGACGTACCCGGTGAGGCAGAACGGGAAGCTCATGGCCAAGATGGTCTTCATCGTTTGGCTGCTGTCTGCCTCCATCACCCTCCCTCCCCTCTTCGGCTGGGCCCAGAACGTCACGGTGGAGAGGGTGTGCCTCATCAGCCAGGACTTCGGCTACACCGTGTACTCCACGGGGGTGGCCTTCTACATCCCCATGGCCGTGATGCTCGTCATGTACAGCCGCATCTACAAGGCGGCCAAGGTGAGCGCCGAGAAGCACCGCTTCATGAACTTCCCCAAGCACTACGAGGAGGAGGGAGTCTACTGCCTGGAGGCCTCCAGCCGGGGCCACCACAGCTCCCGGCGGACCAAGGCGGCCGAGGAGTGCGCCACGCTCTCCAAGCTGCTCCGGCAGGACAGGAAGAACATCTCCATCTTCAAGCGGGAGCAGAAGGCGGCCAGGACCCTCGGGATTATCGTGGGGGCCTTCACGTTCTGCTGGCTGCCCTTCTTCCTGATGTCCACGGCCCGGCCGTTCATCTGCGGCGTGCGCTGCAGCTGCATCCCGCTGCGGCTGGAGAGGACTCTGCTCTGGCTGGGGTACACCAACTCCCTCATCAACCCCCTCATCTACGCCTTCTTCAACAGGGACTTGAGGACTACTTTCTGGAACCTCCTGAGGTGCAGGTACAGGAACATCAACAGGAGGCTCTCGGCCGCCAGCATGCACGAGGCCCTGAAAGCCACAGAGAGGCACGAGTGCATCCTGTAGAGCCACGTCCTCTCTCCCAGTGCCTGACCGACCAGCTCCTGCCTCTCCCATTTCAGGTTTCCTTGCTTCTCCCGCCCTCCTGGGGCTGGCAGAAACCATTTGTGCCATTGTTTCCCCCCCTGCCAGACATCACTGCACCCCTTCCCCTCACCCTGTGAGGAGCCGCGGCTTCTCCTCCCCTCGGGAACAAGTGGAGGGAATTCCCCTCGGGAATAAGTGGAGGGAATTCCCCTCGGGAACAAGTGGAGGGAACTCCCCTCGGAAACAAGTGGAGGGAACTCCCCTTGGGAACAGCCCTTCCTTCTCACCGTGTCCAAGGTGGGGGCTGAAAAGCCGTGAGCAAGACTGGGGGGAGGGGGTTCAAGGTCTACCAACTGTGGGCAACTCAAACCACCTCTCTGTGCCTCAGTTTCCCCATCTGTTATTTAAAAAAAAAGAAAAAACAAGGAAAAGAAACCCTCCCAGCCGACCAAACATAAAAAACACCCTAAAAACTTGATAAGACTGTGGCTCTCCACCTTCACAAAGGGCTCCAAGGTCTGTGGAGGGCACACAATACACTATGTAAAGATGACATTGGCTGCACTTCTCTATGGAACACGACAGCAGCTCCGTTGTAGATCCAAACTCTCATGCCATCCCAGCTTATACGGACTCTTCCCACGGATGTAATTGCATTTCACACCCTGAGCTCATGCCCAGGTTTGCACGTCAGAGCAGTAACACCAATGACCCCGTTTCCCCTCACACTGTAGCACTGCAGCACTTGAAGGAGACACTCCTGCAGAATCCAACGCCAACGGACACGGAGCTTCCCTCATGGTTGGACAGGAAAGTCCGGTGGCCTCCTCGTCGGGGCAATGACTGGTGAGCAAAGACACTCGTGTTTATTGGGTTGGACTGTAATTCATTCTCAGCCAAGTGATGTGTGCTCATCATTTGTGGCTAATTGACTCCATAAAAGCACGCTTTGGTTGACAACAGACAAAACCATATGATTTCTCTGACAGCTTTACAGTGCTTCAGTATGATGTCCAGCAAGCTTGAAAAAAATACACTGGATGATGTATCTTTTTCTAAAAAAAAAAAAAAACAAAAAACCAAAGAAAAAGTCTGGTTTCTTTATTTTGGTGTAGACCCTTTGGTCTCTTTGACTTTAAAGCCTTTCTTTATTTTTATGTGGTGATGGGACTTGTCTTCCTGCAGATCCTCTTTGCTCGTGATCAACCTTGTTGTGTCAACCTGGCAGCCCCACAAACCTTTGCCTGTTTGTAGATGATCATTGAATCATGGAATCATGGAATGGTTTGGGTTCAGAGGGACCTCAAAGACCATCTTGTTCCACCTCCTGCCATGGGCAGGGACACCTTCCACTACCCCAAGTTGCTCCAAGCCCCGTCCAACCTGGCCTTGGACGCTTCCAGGGGAGATGATTTGTGCTCCAGTTGTTGAATGTCTCCTGTCCTGGGTTTTCTTGTCAAAGCCAGACTGTTCAGAGGCTGAGGGAAAGTTGTTTCTAGACCTCCCCTCCGTCCAGATTTTCTTTATCAAGCAAGAGTGTGTGAGTGGTGGGAGTCCCATCTCTGGCAAAAATACAAGTGTGATGCCTTAATCCATATCTAAGTTGGGTGTTGGATGTCTTGGCTGAGTGCTGGTTTAACTTCTGTGCTCTCACTTCTCCTCTTTTCACCAGCCACTTCCATCCTGTCTCATTTTACACTTGCTTTTTCTAGAAAGATCTCCAGTTTAGACTGGTAATTCACAGCAGGGAGGTTGGACACAGGGACTGCAACATGTCCAGATATTCTCCAGACTCCTGTCCTCACAGAGAGAGTCAGAATTGCACGTGGGAGGAGCAGGGGAGGTTGTAGCTGTTGTGTGGGTCTCCAGTGGGAGATACTTAAAGACCAGACAGCAAAGAGATTTGAAGGAGATTAATCAGGAGTGATCCTAAGGGTGTAGCTGGAGCCCTGCTTCACCTGCTATTCCAGGCAGGAGCTCTTTGAAGAGGAGTGAGTGATTTTGCTAAGGGTTTTCACAGCTTTCTACCCATCTTTCTCCCATGTTTTGTTACCTATGGTTGTGTGTCGGGTTGGGTTTTCCTGGACCAGGCTGTTTGCTGAAGGCACAGCAGCTACGCTCAGTCCCTTTTCCCTGCTGCTCAGAGGCTGCTGTCCCTGTCCAGGAGCAGCACAACACCCAGTCCCACCAGCAGCAAGGACCTGTCCTCCACCACTCTGCCCCAGACGGATGTTGTCGCCCAGCCAAACCCGAGTGGTGCCCCTGGGATGTCCTGTGGTCCTGCACCCCCCAAACCACAGACCCCACAGACTCAACGGGGCCGGAGAAGGCACAACACACCCTCCTGGTTCCACATGAGCTTGTTCTGCACCACCTCTCTGCTTTCCCTCGGTGCTGTGTGTTCCCCTCAGTGCACTTGCTGCTCACCACGGTTGCAACTTCCCCTGATGCTTCTGCTTCCCCACGCTCCCCGTCCCCAGGGAATGCTCTGACTGCCCATCTCAGGGCCTGCTCAACAAAAACAACTCCTTTCCTCCCCCAGAGCGCTCTGGGCCATCATCCCCTCTGACACAGCATCTTGGCAGCAGCTGTTTCTGTTGCTGGTTCTGCTCCTGCCACAGGGACACGAAGCTCCTGCGGGGTCCGATTTCCTCCCTCGGCTCCTGCAGCTCCTTCCCTGCCACGGAGCCCTCAGTGCCCTTTTGACAGAGCTGTCTGGATTGGAACTAACCAGCTGCTAATTCCAGCTGTCTCCTCGGGATGTGAGAGCCCCAGGCCAGCCCATTTCACATCCAGGCTGGTTGTCCTGCTGCAGTGTATTTATTTATATGCCTGAGGTCAGAGTGGCACCATTTTACTTATTTTCTGTGTTAGGAATTCTACAACTGCCTTCAACAATTATAATCTTGTTTAATTCCACTTAACATCCCTATGCTGATGGTGTTTCTAGTGCTGCTTAAAAGTGTTCTGTAAAAGAGCCATGAAACAGTGTTTGAGCTTTTTAAATTAAGTCAGACAAATACTGTTTTTTCTGGTTTGATGGTTCTTCCAGAATAAAAACAGTAAGGGAAAAAAATATGACTCTGGATGATCCAAACCCCAAAATTCTTCTAAGCAAGGAATCGAGCAAAATGATTTATTTGTCTTAAAAACTCCCAATGTTTTCTTTGACTTGGAATTTAATGTTTTGTTGCACTCAAGGCCCATCTGACAATTTTTTCCCTTATATTTTCATTTTTAGCTGTAGAAACATTTAAAAGAAAAGCTTTCTTCCAAGAAACCATTCCAAGGGTTCGCACCCAGGAATATTTAAACACAACAGCTTCACTGAAACCAAACATTTTGCTCAAAAAATAATGAGATGGCTTGCAGGATTTTTTCCCAGCAGTTATTGACTCAAACTTTGAACATCAGCCTAAACTCTTGCTTTTTATCTCCCCAAGATTAAATTGTGTTTAGGTTGGATAAAATAATGTGCATCCAAAGACACCAAGGCCTTTTCCACACACGAGTGAACACCAACCATTTAGTTAAGCCAGTCAAGATCCTTGTAAATGAGCCACTAAATCATGCTGAAAATACTCTGCAGGGTTTGGGGTTTTTTTTATTTTAATCAGACAAGAATCAATGCATTTGGCATCTGCAAAAACAAACAAAAACCAACAAACCTGTCTTAAAATAAATCTGAGCCATTTTGAAACTGATTTTAGCACGTACACGTGTGCTAACAAACCTGTATGAGGTTGAAGAGAAATTAGCTCTAAAAGAGTCCCTGTTTAGGTAAAAATGTGAGCCCAGGGAGAAAATCATCAATTTAGGAGGAGAAGAGGAAGTTTTCTCGGACAATGAGGGAGTCCCAGCAGGGCAACAGCAACACAGTGGAGAAGAATGAGGAGCCTCGGGCGGAGAAAATTGAACTAATTCAGGCAGAAAATGAGTAGGTCACAAATCAGCTTTTTATTCCGCTCCCTGTGCAAGGGAAATTCATCCAGGAATTCAGGCAGAGTGATCTGGGGAGAAAAGGCAGTTTTGACAACCCCCCCAGCTGGGGTCTGTAGGTTTTTGAGCAAAGCCAGGCGGGGTCAGGCAGAGATGCACCAAGAAGCTCAAGGGGGTTGAAGCCTGGGTGTCTCCCCCCAAAAAGCCTCAATCCCTCCACTGCCTGAGCTCAGCACTTCCCAGATAGGTTTGGCTGATGGGTAAGTGCTGGGGATTTGTGGGGACAGCTCAGCAAACCCACTGTGTTCTTCGTGCCAATGAGAGTCCTGCCACCTCTTCCACCTCCTGAACCACGTCAGGCTGGAAGATGATCCAGCCTGGGATCCTACCTGGAACACAGAGCAGTCGTGGATTCTTACAGACAAAGGCCAACAAACCTGTTGTGGGATCGTTCCTTGTCCCACCAATTAAAGGTTCAGGGACCCAAAGTGACCTTGGAGTGTTTAATAACCTCCAACTGGTGCTCTCCTTCCACCTTATTCAAGTTTTTCCCACTCTGCCATCCCAAGCTCCAGGATTTTGTTATTTTATAGGTAAAGAAGTGTCTCCCTTCACTCTTGTAAACCTGCCATCTGCTGAGCTCTTTAGAACCTGGCTAATCCTTGCATTAGGAAGGAGAATGAGAATGATTATCCCTATTCACCCTCTCCAGGCCAGCTGGGATTTTGCAGGCCTTTGCCATATTCTTCCTTTTGAAATTAAAGGGATCTATTCAACCCATAATTCCTTTTCCAAGAGTAGGATAGGCCTTGGGAAAATTATTAGGACAAGGACAGTCTGGATCACGTGCCTTCCCATCCCTCCACTACGCTCAAAGCATCCAACCTTGTTCAGTTCAGGAAATTCCCTGTTTAGGCATGGTTTCTGTGCAAGGCTCGGTGTAACCCCCTGTTTTCCCATGGGAAAATGCCAAAATCTTCCATCTGGGATTGGGTAACCCCACATAACAGCCCAGGCTGGGGCAGGACCTGGTGCCCAGGGCACTGCTGAGCTTGGCAAGGAGAAGGCTAATGATGGCCAACCAGTACCCTGAGGGGAATTTTGGGGAAGGTGAATGCAGAGAGGTGGGGAAATCTCTTTCTTTGGCCATATTCAAACCTCAGCTGGGTCAGGCCTTGATCAACCTGACCTAACCCTGGAGGTGTCTTTGCTCTGAGCACGACACAGATTCAGA